GAAAAAAGACAAAAATAAATAAATAAATAAATAAATAAATAAGGAAGAAAAATTTTATTTGTAAGATTTTTTTTGGAGAGGGCTTTGAAACAAGGTCTTGCCGTGTAGTTCAGGCTGGCCTTGAATTCATTATGTCGCCCAGGCTGGTCTTGAACTCACAACGATCCTCTTGCCTCAGCCTCCCAGGCATGCACCACCACATTCAGCCAGCACAATCTTTTTTAAATGCCCACTTTGTAACATTTGCTCCTTTTAAAAATCATTTACCAAGCAATTCTCCACCCTGAAGACTATGTACTAAAAGTAGGAGCCTTCATACTACATTTTCTTTTTGTTCTTGGATGCTTTGTTACTGGATTCTTTTACATCTGTGGTTGATTTGCACAAATCCTTCTGTCATTTCTCTCTTCCGTGAGTACTGGGTTACTGAAATGAACTAATCCAATCAACTTCCTGGGGACAGCTAACCAGGAGCAGTGCGGCCTCTCCAGCTCTCTGAGCTGCTCAGCTTTTCCGTTACCCTTGAGACACTGCCTGACTAAGGAGATGCAAGACCTATTAAGCTTCAGTACAGTTTTGTTTCTTTTTAAAAGTAAGAACAGGACTCTAGGGGGCTGGGGATTTAGCTCAGCGGCACAGCGCCTGCCTGGCAAGCACAAAGTCATGAGTTCAATTCCCGGTACTGGAAAAAAAAACAAAAAAAAACAAAACAAAGAACAGGACTCTAATTATCAAGAGGACGGAAGCTTTTAATAAATAAAAGCTCCTGTCTGTCTTTTTTGTTTGTTTGTTTGTTTGCGGTACCGGGGATCGAACTCACGACCTTGCACTTGACAGGCAGGCGCTTATGCCACTGAAACTCCTGTCTCTCTTTCCTGCAGGCCAATGGCAAGTCATGGGCATCCCCAGAGCATAGGAACCCTTCAGGGACCCGGGCTTAGAGCTCAAGTGAAAGTGTACGAAACCCTGATTTCACTTGTTAGCACAGCTGAAGCAACTCCCCAAAGACACGTTGTGCTGCAATGTCAGGACGCTGGCAACATGAGGAAAGGAAACAGGAGCTCTGCGTGTGCCTCCTCTTAAGCAATGCCTTCCCGGTAATAAATCTGAATGGAACGAGTGTAAGGCACCCTGGGGACGGTACCAGGCTGCAGCTCAGGCCAGGATGAACTGGCTGGCAGGAACTGCCTGAAAGATCTGGTAGAGGAGGCAAAGGCCAACTCCAGGGAAATGAAGCAAGATGACCAGCGGCAAGGCCATGGCTGGTACCTCCCCTCCTCGGGCATGGTCCCGCATCACCATGCCAACAGATCTCGGCGACTGTGCTTCACCCCACTGCCTAGGATCCTCCACTCTGATGACCTCCACTAGGCTTTCAGTAAACTAGGCTCAGGGTTCCCCGCTCCTCAGGCAGTGGCCTAAAAGCAGAGGGGGCCTCACTAGGGAACTTTCCGTGGAATCAGACAACACCTTGGAAAATGTGGAACTATCAAGCATCTGTCCTCTTCTTTGTTTTGTTTTGTTGTCTTTTTGAGATAGGGTCTCGCTATGCAGTTCAGGCTGGCCTTGAGCTCACTTTGCAGCCCAGGCTGGTCTTAAACTCCCAACGATCCTCCTGCCTCAGCCTCCCAAGTGCTGGGATGACAGGCGTGCACCACCATGCCCGGGCTCTCCTCTTCCTTATAAATTCCCTTTTCTATCATTCCTTAAATTAGGAGTATAACACAAAGTGGACCAGGTTGTAAAATACATATTTAATTTTGAATACACACCTTCACTGGGAGAAAAACAGTGACAGGAGAATAGATGCTGCATTCCCATGGGGGCCACATTTGGAGGTATTTCCTCTGTGGAAGGGGTAAAACGCCACCACTAAGCTCTTCTGTGGCTATTGCACACAGGTCAAGTTACCAAGCAGCAACTCACCTCAGAGGTAGTAAGACACAATAGCGGATTAGGACACCCAGCACCCACACCATGGTGAGCCGAGGACTGATGTAGTGGAAATTGATATTGGTTCTAGTGAGGAGATTCCAGGATACTAGCTCCTCTGAGGAGAACCTTTGGGTCACTTCATCTTCCACAATGGCTTCCAATCCCTTCTTGGAGAAATAAAACACGTCAGAGAGCTCAAAGTCCCTTCCTCGAAGACCAGAGAGCCCTTTCTCCATGGGTGACTCATCTCTTTGGATAATACCTTAAAAGAAAGCATCAGGACATGAGAAAATGTAATAGGACAGGGCAACTCACCAACGGGGCAACTTTGTGGAGTTTACAGAAAATAAATACTATGGGTGACAAACAGACTTCAAAAATAAGGGATGTAACAGCAGCCAGAAGAGAGGGGACATCACTGCAAGAAATGACCTATACCCAGTGATCTCCATGAATACAGAAGAAGTTCGGTTCTGCCGGGCGGGGTGGCGCATGCCTGTAATCCCAGCACTCGGGAGGAGGCTGAGGCAGGAGGATCACTGTGAGTTCAAGACCAGCCCGGCTACAGAGTAAGCTCAAAGCCAGCCTGAACTGCGTAGTGAGACCCTGTCTCAAAAAGACAAAAAAAAGTTTAGTTCTTTTTAACCTCCTTGTTCGGGTTTCCTCCCTAAACATTATTACCAAAAGAATTCACAGAAAGCAAACTCTCTCCAGATATATCTGAACTGTGTAACAAAAAAGATTTCTGTGCTTCTCTGCTAAAGGCTTTAAAGTCAAAAGGCAAGCAAAATGGCAAATGACATTTACCACAAACAACAATAGTTGAGGTCATATAATTTTTTTCCCTCGATACTGTTGAACCTAGCACCTTCACACTCAGGTACATCCCTGCCCTTTCTTTATTTTTTATTTTGAAGCAGGATCTCCCTAAGTTACTAAACTACTCAGGCTGGGATTGAACTTGCAGTTCTCCTACCTTAGCTTCCCATAGTGCTGGGATTACCATAAAAATTTTTAATAAGAAAACCACAGGCTACTGCAGAAAAGTAAGCAGGTTCATGAAGTGAATTTATGGAAGTAATATCAATGGTTAATAAATATATCAAAATTTAAATTGGGTGTGGTGGCACACGCATGTAATCCCAGCACTCAGGAGGCTGAGGCAGGAGCATCACCAAGAGTTTGAGGCCAGCCTGGGCTACACAGTGAGTTCAAGGACAGCCTAGACTATGTAATGAGACTCTGTCTCAAAATCAATCAGAATTTTTTACAGTCAAAAAAATGTGAGTGAGACAAAACTGACATATTTATGTTATCAAATTATTATAGACAGCTAAATTAGGTAGAAATATTCTAGGCAGTCAGACAGGGCGAGGCCAGCAAGGGAGTCAGAGCAGAGGATGAGAACGCATCACAGCTGTGTCTGGAAGCGCATCTGTCGAAGGCCAGGCCTCAAGATAAAGATGGAATGACCAGGCTTACGTGCCTCCCTGAGGGATAAGCAGTAACTTGAAGGTTACACTATAATTGGTATCACCTGGTCCAATAAAGTCTAGATAGACATCAGTCACCCAGGTGGGTGACCAGGACCTCCTGATCCATCCCTTCCTAAGGAGGTCTCTGTTCTCTCCATGTACCCTTGCTACGGGACCTGCTTCCCCACTGGATCAATATTACCTAAGCGGCTACACTTGTAATTTTATTGGTTGGTCGTAGTTTTGACCCACGTTGTACCCCCATGTGATTTTGCTGTATAAAACTTCCTCTGTGGGGGCTGGGGATTTAGCTCAGCGGCATGGCCCCTGCCGGCAAGCATGAGGTCATAAGTTCGATTCCTAGTACAAAAAAAAAAAAACCAACTTCCTCTGTGAAGTGGGGTCCAGGGCAACCCACTTTCGGGTCCCCTCCTGTCTCTCAGAAGCTAGCTCTCTCCATACATTTACCCTACTTTTAACTTCTGTTTTCTTTAATTCCTTTTCAATTTCAGGGAACACAAACGCAGCATATCTGCCATCTAGCAGGTTGAGAGTTACACTTTTTCCCCCATATCAAAATCAGCAATACTTTTGTTCATGAAAAATCCAATGACTAAAATAACAAAGGTACTCTCGTATGCCACTTATAGGAGTGTGGAACAAATTCCTACCAACTGGTTTCAAAACTGACTTGTCAAGCCAGGCGTGGTGGTGCACGGCTATAATCCCAGCACTCAGAAGGCTGAGGCAGGAGGATAGTTTTGAGTTTGAGACCAGCCTGGGCTACAAAGTGAGCTCAAGGGCAGCCTGAACTTCACAGCGAGACCATGTCTCAAAAAGACCAAAAAATAAAACTGATTTGTCGTGAAAAGACTAAAAATAGTTCTTGATGATCAATAATTCCAATTCTAGGCCTCTATCATAAGAATTGCAGAGAAATTGCTCCCTGCAGCACTCTGATACACACGTGTCCATTAACAAATGTTAAATGAAAGAATCTTAAACTGTAGTTTAAGTCTATGAAATATATATACACAGAAAAAATGTGAAGAAAACATTATCTTTGAGCAAGGAGGCTAGATTTCCTTCTCCATAGTGATATCATATTTTCCATAAAGAAAATAACTCAAAGAATTTTAAAGCAGCATATTCTTTTTTCTAAATTGAAAAATGACTGCCACCACCCAGTTCTAACCACTCCATGAGTAATAAATGAGAAAGAAAGAGTCTTGAAAGAATAAAGAGTGGTTATGCACACAGTCCATAAAGGACTACTTGTTCCTCTGAGCTGTGCCACAAAGGCCTTTCCTTCCCACGTTAGACTCCTACAGGGATCCCACGCCACCAGCCTCAGCTCCACCAGCCTCATCACAGTCCGGAGGAGTCCACATTTGTAATCCCAGGAAAAAGTTACTGGAATTCCAATAAGTAATTCCAGTCTACCACTTCACCGCAACCTATAGGCAGAATAAAGAGACGGACACATATCTACAGTGGTGGGGAGCCGAGGGGGTCCTAAGTCCAGCTATGATGATGACTGACCGGAACAAAGGCCTCGACCCAGGGCCAAACCCAGCTTTTATTAATTCATGGAATGAGGAGTGGCTCACGGATGAGTGACTGTGAGAATCATGGGAAGTATGTGAGTACTGTGGAGGGGGTTGCTTAGGTAGGAGTCATTGTAGCACCTGGGCAATATGCAGAGAGAGGTATGCACAAAGATTGATCTGCATAACACAGTTTAAGGAAGTATCTTGGGTTTTTTTGTTGTTGTTTGTTTGTTTTTGAGACAGGGTCTCAGTATGCAGTTCAGGCTGGCCTTGAGCTCACTTTGTAGCCCAGGCTGGTCTCGGAACTCGCAACAATCCTCCTGCCTCAGCCTCCCGAGTGGAGTACTGGGATTACAGGCATGCGCCACCACGCCGAGCTGAGGAAGGATCTCATGTTTTGGGGTGAGTGCTTGAGCTCTGATGTCTATCCTTCATGCCCTCAGGCTCATGGCATGGTTTCTTTCTCCAGCTCACATACTAGCTGGAAGCCATAGGCAGGACATCACTGACTGTGCACTGCTTTAAAGGCTACACATCAGCACCTCAGCTAGACCCATTTCCATTGCTTAAAGCCCCCTGAGGGGGGAAAGAAATATCCTAGCCAGCTGTGTACATATCGATACACAGAATTAGGGCCAGGTTTAACCAAAGTGGAAACGCTGTTCTGTCAAGGACAGCCGTCAGGTGGTGTGCCACAGACTACAGAGAAATAGCTTTCCTTTTGTAGCGAGGTGAAGATGTTAAATCCCAGAAAGACCTTCTTTGACTTTCTCTTTCCAGTTTACCAAGAAATCAGTCAAAAGTTGAGACTGCTGCTCTATCATAGATGCCCAGAAGAACTGATACGGCGTCAACAGGAAAAATTGAGATTTTTTTTTTTCCTCTTTTTGGTTTTCGAAGGGAGAGCAGCATGGTGCCCGGGAGGAGAAAGGAAAGTCGGCTTGGAGTGTGGGGAGCGGCTGGAGCTGGTCATCAATCACGCATGCAGGACAAAGCCTGGCCAAGAACACGGGGAGCTCCTTGAACCATGATATTAATTTCAAGCTGCTGCAGCTTGTTAACTGATTGCTGAAGTGAGAGAGGCTGAAATTAATATCACCCTCTAGAGGGTATAAATAAACGCTCTACCGTTCTTGGGCAGTTCTCCTCTGCTTAGGAGAGAGTATCTCTACCTGACCCAGCTCTTGTCTCTTGTCTATCTTTTCCTCATTCCCACCGCCTTCCTCCGCGGGTACACAGAGAGCCCAAGTCTCAACATTGGAGTTGAAAGTCCGGTTCTGTTTAAGACTACTGGAAATTAGGGCGTGGCTAACCAGCTGAGGAAGTACTTGTGACCTGTCAATCATGGAGACCCAGGACACATGCGCAGAAAAGGTTCCCAAGCCCCACAGCTGGGACTAACCAGAAAATGCTATCTTTGATTTTTCTGGTCAAAAATTAATCAGGTTTCTGACAGGACAGCCTAGGCTGACGTCAGCCTGAGCAACAGCAAGACCTCTATCATTAATTTGGCGTCTGTGCTCTTCCATGACCCACACTCTGCAGAATATGCATTATTTTTTTTCCCTACATTTAATAAATATAAAACCTGGCTACTTTTTGCACATGTCTTGTCCAATTCTTTGTTCAGGACAAGAATCTGGAAAAAAAAATCTCTGGAAAGGGCCTACAGCGCACCCCCACCACACTGGATAACACAACCACCAGCTCCATAACTGGTGTCTTATAAAATGGAGTGGGAAATGTTTTAGTCTCCATAGAGTTAGTATTCTCTGGTTTCATGTCTGGGTTTTATTTTACATTGGTGTATATGTTTTTGTGTGTGTGCCCCATATGCAAAGTTAATATCTACATTAAGAGTTACAGCAGTAAAGGAACTTTTTGAATTATCATTAGGTTACCTTGTCCAGGAGTCAATTCCAAGCAGGTCAAGGTTCTTCACCTTTAGCCTACTGACATTATCAAATCAGCAGGAATTCGGTTAGAGGATGGACCAAGATAACTGTCCCTACTGAATTCCCCTTTGACCCTCCAGGCGCTGCAGTCCCACTCAGGGCCCATTACTCAACTCAAGCGCTGTTGTACGGCCAATACTTAGCAGGGCAAGTTTCATTATTTAGCAATATATAGATTCTTTTTTAATGTCCAGAGAAGAGGGAAGAACAAGTTGTTGAGTAATTCTCTGAATGAAATACACTAGGGATAGACCATCTAAAAATACTCTTTTCCAGAAAGCC